ATTACAAGGCAAAGAGGCTCAAAACAGCTAATGTGAGATTTGGAGTATCTTCCTTTTCTTATTCCTTAAATGCAGCAAATAATTAATCCTTAGTATTAGATACAGTGATTTTTATGAACTATTTCCTGGCAGTATAATATTTAATAATTCATATAATCCTGCTTCTCTGTAGAAGCTACATGGTATTAAACAGCTTAAATCCTAATATATTAAAAATATGTTTTTCAATAATTTGGTAGTTTATAGAAGGAAAAAAGGGAAATATTTTAAGTGCAACTTAGAAAAGATATTATCAGCTGGCAAAGCTAGTTTTAATCGTCATGGTATTTCATGATTTTTTTCACTTAATTAGCAGTAGCCTCAGCAATTTGTAGAACTAGGATTTATTGATAATATACGGTGGTAAAGCAGGTGTCCCACTTGTAGCCAGATATTCTTCTGCTACCCACTTAACTTCTTTAGTCACATGCCTTGCTTGATTACTCTTCTCACATTACCCTGCCTTACATTTCTTTAGCAGCTGGATCGGCTGTGGCACATCCATATCTGTCTCTGACCCATTTCGTAGAATTTTTGACTTATACTTGAGTATGACTTCTGGTAAACATTTCATTTTTCTGCTTTCTAGCCCTGTGGTTGCCCAAACACCAAATTACTTACATATTAGAACTTTTAGCTAACTACCTGTCAATCTAACTGATTTTTGAAGTTAATGGTGTTAATATATTCAACTCATAACTGTGACTTTCCTACCTGATAATACAATGCAGCTAAAACAACGGAAGCAAGTTATTATCATGTTGTATTATTTATGCTACTCTGCCACATAGATTGCAATTTTTTAATAGAATCATTTAATATTGGGATTGTAACATCTGTTTCCTATTTCAAGGATCAGCACTTCATGTTTTCAAATGCCTGGCACCAGCCCCATTCTATTGTATATACATTCTTAAATCCCTATTAAGTCCACTGCTGAATATTTCATCCATATTGTCCCTTGTTTCTCTCAAGGGTTTTTATTTAAATTAATTTTGGCATAGAGGTGGCTGTAATTCTTGAACAGTGTCTTTCATGCTAACTTGTAACTTAAAAGAGTTTCTTGAACCACTTTGCAAAAATAGTTGAGCAATAGAGAAGACGTCTAGATAGTGCAAGTCAAAAGTACCTCTTCTAAGAAACAGTACTTTGCAAGATAATGTTTTAAGGGACAGATATTTTCCAGACCTCCTCAAGTTGACAGCCAATATGTCAATATGCTTGCAGTAGTCCTGTCCAAAATCCTTTCGGTGGGCAGAACGCGTTTACCTTTGTCCTCTCATTCATCTTGTGTTCACAGTGCTAGTATTCCTACATTCATAGCAGGAATGTTGTGTGTGATGTGGCTCGTAAAGCGACATCTGCTTTTGGATTCCTTAAATGTGTACTACATGATGAAAAACAGCTGGGAATTCTTCATTGACCGAGGCCACCTTTCACCATCGTGAGAGTGTACTGGGCTGTTAAGTTGGGTGTTAATGTATTTGGCACCCACTTTACATCTCAGACTTCCAGGGTTGTGCAAGGAGACTATCTGAGATTTCAGGCCTACCTGCTTTTCTAGCAAAACTTCTGATCTTTGTATTTATTGACATAGTTAAGACTTATTCATGTTCCCACAGCAGATACCAGAAGGAACACTCACAGTGGATTCCAGGTTGTATGACTTCTTTCCTTAACATCATTTTTTCTTGCTGATATATCACAGTGTATTAGGCAATGTGATAATAGAGTTTATGTTTGCTCTGTAAACAAGTGCTTAAATGTAATGAATACCACAGCCTCAGAGAAGTTAGAAGTTGGTTCATATTTTTATATGAATGTATGTTAGCCAAGTACTAAAGTGGTACTTCTAAAATTTATGGTCATAACAGGGGGGGAAAAATAAAAAATGCTGGATCACCTGTTCAGTACAGTTATATGGATTATATATTTTTGTTTAATTTGCATGAATTCTGTTCACTAGCCCAGTTCTACAAGGATGAGTACCATTACAAATCTCAGTGCAGCTTCCAGCAGCTGTTTAAAAGCAGAAAGAAAACAGAATCAGCTTGCCAGAAAGGTGTTTCTTTCATCTTCCCAAAATTACTCTGGACCAAAGCCCAGGACATCTTGAGTCCTGGACCAGGACTGATCCAATATGTCATGACCTGCCGGTGCTAGAATTCTATGCTTTATACAGCTAGAAAGGGAGAGTCCCATAGAACACGTGGGTTGCAGGCTGGCCATATGATATCCTTGCTAGATCTGGAAATATTGGAGAGTACACAGTCGTACTTTTTATGCCTGCTAAACTGCATTAACCAAATGTCAAGGTTTTCTAGAATGTATTAGTTATAACTGGCCTCTTCTTCTGAAACCTGTGCAATATTCATCCTTAAAGCACACCATTTCCATGGAAGTCTCAGTAGACACCCCATAAAAATTTTTAATTTTTTGTTGTAAAAATTGTTCTGTTGGTATGTAAAATGCATATATGAGTTCACTCTGCATAATATATATCATTTGTTTATTGTATTTATTATCTTACTTATCTTGTGTTATTTATTTATTATGTTCTTATTTATCTTATTTATATACTTGAGGTTCTATGACTTTTTCCTCATTGTCAGTTCCTGGTTTCAAATTATTAGGTCCGTGTCTCCAATAATTCTGAATATCTTTCTCAGTCATTTCTGTGAAAGAACATTTAAACATTACAGGCATTTTTTGTGACAGAAGTTCCTTTTACCCTATATGGGAAGAATTCCAAATAGTACAGCCGAAGATTGACAGCTGTTTTGTATGTCAGTCAACATTTGACTAAGAATGACATATGAGTTTAAAATGGGTTTGATCTTTATTCCTTGCAAAGGAATCCCATTTGTACTGATGGGTTGTGTTTCTTCTGTGAGATGTAGTTCTATTCGACTGACCCGCAGTAGTTCTGCATTGCGGTCTCAATGAATAAAACACACTTTTCTCTACTCTGTTTTATTTGCTAAGAGGAAGAAAATTGTATTAACCTGTCTGGGACTGAGTAGTGATGGAGAACACCATTAAACATGCAGAGTAGCAATTCATATTATATAACACCTCATACTTGAAAGGATTCCCTCCATAAAACCACTTGCTGGCAGTGGAAATTTCCTGAAAATGACTGTAGAACGTAGAATGATTCTAAGTACTATGACGTTTCCATCCAAAAAATATATGGTAGAGAAAGTGTAAATACTCTCAGCAAAAGATCCTTCAAGGGGTACTAGTACAGAGATTGATCAGTTGTTGGGCACAACTGTCTTAAATTTAAGTTGCTCACATTTTTCAGATTGCTTTGGCACGTCTGAAATCATACTGTATGATTTGGTACAGTGACACTTATAATTTCTATGTTTAAGCAAAAGTATTACTTTGTTAGTAATAAAACATATTTTGAGGTAAAACACAAAAATTGAACTCATACGTGATTTTAAGATTTCCATCAAGCAATGCAAATGCAAGATGTTAATCCAAGTGTTTCTATTTGAATCCAAAATCTCTTTGAAATCATGCAACAATCTGCTCACACTAGATTTGATGGGATGGAGCAGATTTTTAGCTACCATGTTATTGCACAATGAAACACAGAGTGCTCAGGAATCTTCCTCATTTTCTTGCTTCGTGACTACAAACAGGTATCATTGTCAAGCTCCATATGATCCTGGCAGTGATGAGTTAGATGATTTTATCTGTGTTTCTTGGATAGTCATGAAAAAAGATGTTGGGCGTTAAATATTTATATTGGAACTAAGCAGACTCTGGCCTGCAGTTTAGAACATTTTTCACAGCAAGATCCAAGTGTTCATATTGGGAATAGGAAAGAAATACAGTGATGCCAGGGCTGAAGATACTCCCTATGTTGTAAGTTGGTGGTATCAAAAAATTCTTTTTCTTCTCCTTCTTACTTGAATGTTTGCTTCCAGGAGAGACCATAAAACAATAATTAAATGTTTTTTCAACAAGAATTTTGCAAGTATTTTTGACAATTTGAAATAAAGAACAATGTCATTTATTTTGTACATTTTCCATCAAATTGCTACACTTCATAAAATATGTGATAGGCTTCTGTTCTACTGGCTCATGTAATACTTCATTCTTAACTGAATGAGAAGATCTTTCTTGCATATGCCAGTTAATTATATAGGTATATGATAAGTGTTCATCATAAATGTTATTTAAAGTCTGTACATACGAAAAAGCAACGTCAAAGAACAGAAATGTTTCTGTAAGAGAGGAGATAGTCCCTACAGTATGTGCACTTCTGAAGTTCAATCAGCTGAAATGATAACTTTTTCTGGTTTGTGTCAATTCTTTAACATTTTTTCTGCCTTTTAATTTACATTCTTTTAAACTATTCATTTTTTTTAAACTATCCTGTCCAAGTGGATGTTACTGAGTGGGTTGAAGATTTTCTGCTCAGTGAACAGGGGGCAATGCCTCAATAACTGTCTAGATGCAGTATAAAGACTGTTTAGAAAGCCATTTTGGTGAGAATAGGCTCAGTGCTCAATTTTAGAGGAGATTAAGAAGACATTTTGTATATATAGCATTGCTTTTGTAAAAAGCCCGTTTTGGATCATAACAAAATCATAGCTCTTCACCTCTTTTCTCACTAGCAGCTACAGGAAAACTGTGTTGTTAAGAGATTCTTTTCTTTCAGCCAAGGAAGGTGTAATCAGTTAGTGTTCTTTAGTATATTCTTGTATTTCTGGTAACAGGCTGTAAAAACCCGTCAGCTAACTTGAAATCTTGAAGTCTGTGAACCCTCTGTTTTTTATTGCCTTTTTGCATATAGAGGAACAAGGGAAGAGATTGCTGAAATGCTAATGAACAAAATCTTTTCAGGACTGAATGTTCTCTGAAAGTCTTGCTGTCCCTGGTTGTTATGTCTGAAGTCCGCAGTTATAAGATCTTGAAAAGATAAATCTTATTTTATTTTGCAGAGCATTGGCTGTGACGACTACCTGGGTTCAGACAAGGTGATTGACAAGTGTGGAATATGCGGAGGGGACAACACTGCTTGCAAGGTTGTGTCTGGAGTTTTCAAACACACGCTAACAAATCTCGGCTACCACAAGATAGTGGAAATTCCTGAAGGAGCTACTAAAATCAACATCACGGAGATGTCAAAGAGCAACAACTATTTGGGTAAGTTGCACCTTGGTGAATGAAGTGTTGTTTGTGCGCTAGTGCATTTGGGTAGAGGTTTTGCCAGGAGAGGCCACCTAAGCAGTGTGAAATAGATGCCAAGAACAAGAGGAGAAGAGAGGGGAATTAAACAGGTATTTTGGTCAGATAACTAACTGGCAGTTTATAATTCTGGCTTGATCTCACATGACAAACACTATAGACCTGTTACCATCTATTTCCCTGTCCATCTAACTTGACTTTGGTGATTCCTATATAGTTTTTCCACTGTGGTGATTATGATTCTCACATCATTAACCTTCTCTGAGCGGTCAAGAATCCAACCAAGCAGTATGCTCATTTATGTAAATTCCATTGAGGCTGCTTGAGGAGAAAAGAGCATCTTCTGATTGCCTAAAAAAGTCCATTTTGTTAAAGTATATCAAAATTGTATTGAGATAATGAGATGTTGAGGTGGTATCTGCAGACTGCAAGGTCATTTATACAATTGTTAATTCTGATATTCAGATTAGTGTTATAGCATCTTGTGGTATATTTCTAGATCTGTCTAGTGTGCTGCAAATTAGAGAGGATGTAGAATTTCTGCAGATCTACAGCTGTCTTGTGTGCAGTTGTGCACTGTGCCATTCCCTGTTGTAACCTCTCATGTTCCCAGGTTACAAGCCCTTAGTTTGCCTACATTTTTGCTTCTGTTTTGGAGTCAATCCTGCTGAGTGGACTGGAATGAGGAGAGTCAATTCAGATTTGTAAAACCTGTCCTTTGGCCTTTAATTTTTCTTCACCTGTCAATCCATCCTTAGATCTGTCTTTAAAATTACCATAGCAAACAACAAAAATGGAGCTACTGTGTCCTTTCTTTCTAGCTTGGTGTAATTACTACTAGAACTGGAAGTTTCAAATCCCAATACTCTTGTTTGACCGCTGCCTTATCTCACTTCTGGCTGGTAAGCACCTCAGCTACTGCTCCAGCAAGAAAGGAAAGTGCTCTTTATCAAACTGCTGCTGCTTCTCGATTCCTGCTGGAGCTGTAACTAGTTCTGCAGAAACACCTGCCTCTAGATTGGAGTTTCTTATGGGGAACTGAACTGTAATGTGAACTCCATCATTTTACCAAAAAGTGACTCTTCAAAAGTAAAGAAATAGTATAAGCTACTCACAGTCCAAATAAACCAAATGTTCTGGACCTCTTCTAGGGTGATCTTAGCAATTCTAATTTGTTCTGGTTTCGTCCAGATTCATTTTTGACACATTATACACACCTAGCATTCATTTTTTCATGTGAACAGTTTGTATAGCATCCATCAACACTAATTTGTTTGATGATGAAATAAACTAATAGTTCTATCTAAAGAGCTTCCACAGATACTTGCACATTCTGTATAAAATGGGTGAGAACACAGCTTACTTGGCAGAACAGTGGAAGCAACCACGTTACTAATATATGAAATCGTAGGGTTGAATAAATTTTTTCTGTCAGATTTACATGCCAGCATTTGAAAACAGCTGGCAGAAAAATTCCCTTAAATATGTTAAAATGTCCTGAGCCCCTTGAACATTTTTGGAATGGGCAGGACAGAAAAAGAGTAACATTTTTTTCCTTAAAAATAACTAGGCTGATGGCATGTATGGGAAAGTGGCAAAGTTTTCCTTTCCCATGCTACTCCTTATCTCCTTATCCCCTGAGCTCTTGGTTTATGCTATCATCGTTCCTTTTTTTTTTTTTTTTATCCATTTCATATGTTTCATTTTAAAGCTGCTGGTATGGATTTAGTCTGCTAAATTTGCCAGCTCCTTCCCCTGTTAGGAATTCTTGAGGCTGTAGTTCCAGCTAGAAGGACTCCAGCCTCTCTGCTTACACTGTTACATGATAAACTTGGTTTATAGTGGCAGGTGAGTGGCACCGGGACAGGAATTAACATGTTCTAACAGATCAGAAAACTGAAACTAGAGAAAGGTTTATTGAGCAATTTACTGGACAAGTGAAAAGGTAATTGGGAGATGTTTTTTGGCATATTGGTCATGAATTTTTCACTGATAAATCAGCATTCAAAATCTAGACACGCACATTTTTATTGAGCGCACAATACTGGTAGAGCTGGGAAGCTTGAAAACTCAGCTCTGTTATGTGCTAGTTTCTTTGTACTTATGGTAATAAACAGAAACCTTGAACTTTAAATGAAAAAAAATTTAAACTCATCCTTGTGCTGCAGCAGCAACATGATAAACAACCCGGCAGCCATTCCGTTAAGCACGTAGTCGAGTGCTTTGCCAAACGGGTTTTCAGGTCCCTGTTCTGTCATAGTCCAAGTGCAGCCATCAGAGCTGCTCAGAAGCATCAGTGCTCTTGTTCAAGGACTGTAAGTTGCTTTTGGTTTTCCTTTCACTTTGCACATTTCATGGTTCTTCATTGCAAAATTGTAAGTCAGCTCAAGGTCACTAAAATTTTTTTAGAAGATGACAGCAGATGTTTCTGGGAATCTGAGTTACCCGGCTTGTCTCTGTTCAGGAGACTGTATTGAGTTCCATGTGGCTTCATTAAACAATTTTTACAAAACTCCATACCTTTTCACTGCTTTGTCAAAAACACTAAGCAAATAAGCAATCAGGAAAGTGTGTTTTCACAAAGGGGTATTTCTGTAAATAAAGGAGGTACTGGAAAAAGCAGGCAGGAGTGTGAGGTTTCTTACCCAAAGAGTTTCAAACCTGGCTAAAAGTCATGCAAACATTTGAAAGTTCCTCCATACTGCTTTTGTAAACTTTTTTGTGGTGCCCTATTGCTCACGGTTGCAAAACCCGTGACCCTTATAAAAAGCATAGGGCTCATGGTGCTGCTGAATATGCTGGTAGTTTACGAAGGCCTACTAATTTTAAGTATTGCGTGTTTGGTTTTTGCACACAAGCTGGAGTGATAGCAGAATGAAATTTGTAAGTTCTTGCTACTTGAAAACAACAAACTTTAGTTAAAAGGAAAAGCGTGACAGTGGTATATGAACCTTTTAGTATTTCTGGAATATGTTATTATCTGGGTAGTCAGAATATTCAGATTAAAGGAGGTAGGCTATTTCAATGGTCGCTCAACTGGTTGTTCATGTAACTTTATAATTAACTTTTCACAAGAACTACAAAATCCTAGATTTCTTGTGCATCTAATGATCTATATTATTTTATTTCTGTATACCTTAAAAACCTTCAACACCATTGTTTCTGTTTTCTGTTTTCTTCTGCTTATGTGTTCTTGGTTTGGATTAATTGCACAAAAATAATCTTTTCTTCTTCCTGCCCCTCTACCCTCCTAGTGCAAAAAATCCCTTTAGGTTTTCCATTTCTTGAAGATCTTTACTGTAGGAAGAGTGTCTTATGGTAATAAACAGAAACCTTGAACTTTAAATGAAAAAAATTTAAACTCATCCTTGTGCTGCAGCAGCAACATGATAAACAACCCGGCAGCCATTCCGTTAAGCACGTAGTCGAGTGCTTTGCCAAACGGGTTTTCAGGTCCCTGTTCTGTCATAGTCCAAGTGCAGCCATCAGAGCTGCTCAGAAGCATCAGTGCTCTTGTTCAAGGACTGTAAGTTGCTTTTGGTTTTCCTTTCACTTTGCACATTTCATGGTTCTTCATTGCAAAATTGTAAGTCAGCTCAAGGTCACTAAAATTTTTTTAGAAGATGACAGCAGATGTTTCTGGGAATCTGAGTTACCCGGCTTGTCTCTGTTCAGGAGACTGTATTGAGTTCCATGTGGCTTCATTAAACAATTTTTACAAAACTCCATACCTTTTCACTGCTTTGTCAAAAACACTAAGCAAATAAGCAATCAGGAAAGTGTGTTTTCACAAAGGGGTATTTCTGTAAATAAAGGAGGTACTGGAAAAAGCAGGCAGGAGTGTGAGGTTTCTTACCCAAAGAGTTTCAAACCTGGCTAAAAGTCATGCAAACATTTGAAAGTTCCTCCATACTGCTTTTGTAAACTTTTTTGTGGTGCCCTATTGCTCACGGTTGCAAAACCCGTGACCCTTATAAAAAGCATAGGGCTCATGGTGCTGCTGAATATGCTGGTAGTTTACGAAGGCCTACTAATTTTAAGTATTGCGTGTTTGGTTTTTGCACACAAGCTGGAGTGATAGCAGAATGAAATTTGTAAGTTCTTGCTACTTGAAAACAACAAACTTTAGTTAAAAGGAAAAGCGTGACAGTGGTATATGAACCTTTTAGTATTTCTGGAATATGTTATTATCTGGGTAGTCAGAATATTCAGATTAAAGGAGGTAGGCTATTTCAATGGTCGCTCAACTGGTTGTTCATGTAACTTTATAATTAACTTTTCACAAGAACTACAAAATCCTAGATTTCTTGTGCATCTAATGATCTATATTATTTTATTTCTGTATACCTTAAAAACCTTCAACACCATTGTTTCTGTTTTCTGTTTTCTTCTGCTTATGTGTTCTTGGTTTGGATTAATTGCACAAAAATAATCTTTTCTTCTTCCTGCCCCTCTACCCTCCTAGTGCAAAAAATCCCTTTAGGTTTTCCATTTCTTGAAGATCTTTACTGTAGGAAGAGTGTTGATCTGATAAAGAAAAATATTTTAACAGTCAAAATGAGAATGGCCTGCAACATTAACAGGTGTTTCTCAGTGAGCCAACATGAACTACCCCTAACAGACCCATAAGGCAGATCAGAAATTCCCAAGGAAGCATCTTGTACTTTTTCATGTGTGTGTTTGGAAAGGAAATGGTGCAGTTTTGGGCTGCTAAATAATAGCTATTAATAAATATTAATAATGTATTAATCAGCCTGTATACTTTCTCTACAGTTTAAAGCAAAAGCTAGGTATTACGATTTAGGGTTAGACTCTATAAACTGTAAACAAGGCTGTACAGTCCCGAGCTATGTACAGAATGACTTGCTTCTCAAAGTATTCTGCAGCAATATTTTATTACTGCCTGATACATTAGACCTTTCGGCAACCGAACTGCTGACCTTGGACAGACTTTTCCA